GTCCCTCCGTCACGAAAAGAGAGAGACGCAGTGTTGTCTGGGTAACGCACGGGCGCGAAATACAGCACGTCGCATTTCGCGCCGATTGCCGTCGGGCCGCACCTACGGACGCTGGTCGCGCCTGGCGTCAGACTATAGAGTGCTCGCGTTTTGCTAAGTAGCATCGCTGTGCCCAGCATGCGTGCGCGTCAACGCTACATTGGAGTATATTGGGCCCTTCATGATGCGCTCGCGGCCATTTTGCTAGCTTCAAGTACATCAAATTTGGTGTTACGTGACGACAGTGAAAGACAAAATATATGACTGGTACGAACATGATAATCCTGACACGCTTGTCATGTAAGAACATGACAACATACCACGCTCACAGCATGCTCGCGGCCGTTTCGCTCGCTCCACATATATTAAATTTGGTATCACGTGACCCGAATAGATGACGAGGGTAAATGACACATCTAAACATGATAATCATGACACGGAAGTCATGTACGGCATCATTTACTTCCACCTCGTAACGTTGTGCTCATTTTATTGTGACATATCAATATTTCTCATTCGTGCTTCGCATATCATGGATTCCCACTGTACGTAGGATTTGCCAATTTTTAGGGTATCCATTTTTTCTGAGGTCCGCAATTACGTGAGCCTCTTCTTTTTTGCGCTCCGTGTCGTCGGAGCATATCTTCTTGGCTATCTGGAGTAACGTGGTCACAACGGAGGTCTTCTCTCAGGTTGGATGGGATGATTCATATTGAAGGTAGCCGCCGGTGTACGTCGGCTTCCTTTGGACAAAGTACTCCAAGCCGTCGCACTTTCTTGCCATCTGGACGTCGAGAAAGGGCAAGGGCTACCGCTTTCACCCTCGGCCGTGAATAGTATGGCTGAATTTACGGAATTAGGTGTTGTTGCAACTTTTCAATTTTAGACGCCTTCATGACGCAAAAGCAATCGTCTGTGTAACAGAAAAAGAGCTGCGGTCGTGGCGAGAAAGAGCTGAGTGCTTTCTCTTCTATGTGCTTCATGGTCAGGTTTGCCATTGTGACGGAAATGGAAGCTGCCATCACAGTTCCACTGTTCAGCCTGCTCCATGGTCAGGTTTTCTATTGTGACGGAGATGGAGGCTGCCATCACACTTCCACTGTCCAGCCTGAAAATTGTTCCTTTGTAGGATAAGTATGTACTAGGCAGGTAGAATTCCAGTAGATGGCGGAGCTCGCCAACGGGAGCAGAAGGCTGCTGCTCGAGTCGTGACATATATAGCAAACGGCTCAAATTATCTACCGCTTTCTCGGACCTCCCCCCCCCCCCCCCGGGTGTATACACATGGACTACGCTCCGCCGCAAAATGGGAGGGGTGTCAGGGGTCATTAACCCCCGAATGCAGAGATATTACTTGACTCGTACTTGACTCGTTCTTGACTCAAGACAGTCTTGCCGGTCACCATAAATCGTTATCGAACTTGCGGATGACTTGAAGGCGACTTGGCTCGGCCGACGTCAGGACAAGTTTCAAGTCAGCTGCGGGGCTAGCTTGAAAGCGACTTCATGCGTTATTCCAACATGGTCACCTCTCGAATAGACATCGCGTGGTACCTGGCCGCTTTTGAGTTTACTTGCCTCGCCATAAGCGTAGCATTTTTTGTGGCGCACTGCCTGCCGAAGATTCTTGGACCCGCTTTACGTGACCGAGGAAATCCGATGGAGTTGTACGACGAGGAACAATTCCACGCTCGATACAAATTCTCAAAAACGCCGTGCGGCAGCTGCTGGGTATGTTGCAGCTCCGTGAAAGTGGTGACAACCTAGGCCAGCCTGTGCCTCCAATGTTACTGCTACTAATGGCTCTCGGGTTTTACGGCGCTGGCACATTCCAAACAATCACCGGGAATCTCGTCCGCATTCCGTAGTCGATAGTTTGCCATGCAGTAGGAAAAGTTACGCTACTCATTGCAAAGCACCTGTACTCAATGCTGGTGCACTTTCCGCAGCCGGGAGCACTTTCTATAGTTATGCGGGACTTTTATGAAGTGGCTGAGTTCCCTGGTGTTATAGGCTGTGTAGACTACACACACGTGCGTATTAATAGCTTCAGTGGGGACGCCGCCGAAGTGTTCCGTAAGCGCAAAGGCCATTTCTGTTTTTTTTAAACACGACGACATTTCCACCTCTTCCGGTACAAAATTGACTCGGTGCTGTGTCTTTGTGCCTCGCCTATTATTTCGTCCCGTCTAGGGCACTGTTTCTTGCTCAGAAAGGCATCGCTTATAGCACAAAGCTACGTAAAATTCCACACGCATAAAAAAGAGGTGCCCCTATCACGGGTTTTTTTATCCGCTTCACCATCATGCAGCGAGACGCTGCTGCACCTCGCGAGAAAGAATCCTGCCGAGGGCAATGTCCTGACCCCCGCTTTTTTTCTTGTTTACCAAGCTCAACAAAAGGTTACGAATCATATTTGTTCCCAGAACTTGTTTTTTTTTTCACATATAACTGCGGCCTAGCCCACTACAGGCATGCACACAGGCGAACAGAAAGGCAAATACCGTAAAAATCGCGCCACCTCGTGAGCCAGGTCAGCACAAATACATGCCGTGGCGTTCGATTGAAAAAAAAAAGACGTAAGAACCCAACGCGATGCTTGCTTCGCCTCCAAACAAGCAACCGTAGAGAAACGCGCCGCAATTGGGTGGCCACTAAAACTAAACGAGCGCTTTACAGAAGCAACACTGCGCATCACTGTGATGGCAGGCACCACGTGCCGCTCGTTAGCTGTAAAATGGCAGGAATATGCTTGTGGCTCTTCGTTTTTATAGTTATTTTAAAACGTATGGTCTTTTTTTTTTAATGTAATGCATGCCTTACGCGAACAACTTCATTATTACCCTCGTTAGCAGGCGAGCAGCGTGTTTCTGCTTTGAAGCTTGTTCTTGACTTGACCAAGCAAGGCAGCCTGAGCATCTATGAAACGCGAAGGCTGACTTGGGTGTTTTGAAGTCCGCTGCTTGCTTCATGCCAACTTGCTCAAGTTAAGTTGAAGTCGCGAGCCAAGTAACATCTCTGCATTCGGGGGTAACTGCCCTGCGACTGCATTGAAGACGCCGTTGCAGCGTAGCCCCAGTCCCCCCTGAGAAAGGAACCAAGTCGGATCCGAAACGTCGGGTTTACGCATCTTCACGCCCTTTTTGGTTGAAGTTAAAATCGTTTCCCAGTTTACCTACTCATTCAGACATACATCTGTCCAATGTTTACATTGACCACAACCGTTGATGCCACGTGGAGAAATACTGACGTGCTTCGTCGCAAATAGAATAATCGATGACCGACGCTCTGTTCACCGCTGTCAGTGTACAATGTGTATTGCAATGCGTAGTGTGACATTTCGTTTCACGGGTGCAGGTTCGCGCAAACAAAGAAGCTCGTGTTGAACAAGCTGAATGATGCCTTCGTGACCGTCATGATCACGTGACAAGGTCGTGTGGCAGAAGACCGAATGCGCGAGAGAGAGGCGCCATATTTTTTTATATTCACTTGCGTGTCAACATATAATCAAAGCCAACAAATGTGTTTTACGAATGCTTCGTTAATGGCAGGTGATTTCCGTTGTTTAAGCCTTCCCACTCCAATACAAAGGCCTCGGCCACATTTCCTCCTGATTCCCGTCATCATTAACCGCAGTAACAACACGGTGTACGTGAACATAAGTGCGCATAACATCATCTTCACAAAGGCCTATCATCCATCGTATACTCTGTGACAGTGTTGCACGTTTCGCAAGGCCATGGCTTTTTTTTTGTGTGTGTGTGTGTGTGTGTGTGTGTGTGTGTGTGTGTGTGTGTGTGTGTGTGTGTGTGTGTGTGTGTGTGTGTGTGTGTGTGTGTGTGTGTGTGTGTGTGTGTGTGTGTGTGTGTGTGTGTGTGTGTGGTGTGTGGTGTGTGTGTGTGTGTGTGTGTGTGTGTGTGTGTGTGTGTGTGTGTGTGTGTGTGTGTGTGTGTGTGTGTGTGTGTGTGTGTGTGTGTGTGTGTGTGTGTGTGTGTGTGTGTGTGTGTGTGTGTGTGTGTGTGTGTGGTGTGTGTGTGTGTGTGTGTGTGTGTGTGTGTGTGTGTGTGTGTGTGTGTGTGGTGTGTGTGTGTGTGTGTGTGTGTGTGTGTGTGTGTGTGTGTGTGTGTGTGTGTGTGTGTGTGTGTGTGTGTGTGTGTGTGTGTGTGTGTGTGTGTGTGTGTGTGTGTGTGTGTGTGTGTGTGTGTGTGTGTGTGTGTGGAAATCTACTGCACAACCAATATACGTATAGCAATGTTAATGACGCAATGCAAATCAATATTTCACGTGATCTTAAAAACAGGGCGCATGAGCAATGTGAGCTTATTTGTAATTTGTCCCGAGTTCATTTGAGCGTCAAACCTGATATAGGAGACATCGTTCACAGCTTTCCATTAAATACATATGATTCTGAAACTGTATCATCTGCCTCACCACAATTTTTCATCTCCGATTCACAGAAGTTGCAGACGGTATCTTTTTTCCCGTTGTGGAGACATGTGCACAAAATTTGAGTTATAATGCTTATGCGAAACATTGATTATGTGGATTCTGTTCAATGAATCAAAGTTACATGCTTTAATTACGTGACATAGGAGCACAAGAGTATGCTCCATACATTATGATGAGCTTCCAGCTTTATTTTGAGTGCGTAGAACAGAATAAGTGCGCGTAGATATGAACAACAAGGTGCACTTTTAAGAAGCTATACCACTGCCTTGCATTTAACGATTGGCCTTCTATTTGGCATGCGAATGCGCAAACATAAGCACAACACAACTCGTGCATTTGATGAACCACTCCGTGCTCTCTTTTATGTGCAGTTTCTCTTTCTCATCAGATGGTTAAAAGGTTGCTGGAATTTGTAGGCACGTGCTTTGCTGAGCCGTCCTTATATCAGGGTTTTGACTCGCACCGTAACGCCCGAATAACGTCACATGCCTAAGCAGGTGAGAGACGCGCACCTGGAAGACGGTGAGCAGAGCCTGCCAGAAGGTGTCGAAGTTGCTTCGCGGCTTGTCTTCAGTGGGACGGTTGAATCTCCCTCCAAACACCTGCATGCCGAGCAGCGCGAATATCACGATGAACAGGAATAACAGCAGCAGCAAGCTGGCGATCGACCGCATCGAGTTGATGAGCGACGCCACCAGGTTGCGCAGCGACGCCCAATACCTGTCGACAAAAGGGGGAGCACCAAGTCACTCAAGCACATCTAGCATTACGAGTTTAATTTACTATTTATTATGGCGATAGCCGTGGACGCCTTATCAAACGGGAAAACGGACGACCGGAGGTGACGCAAAGCAATCATCATCAACGCAATGACGTAACCATTTATGACATCATCATGACGTCAAAAGTTCTGGTGGATGGTGCTGTTGTAGCGGAAGCGCGAACTCCACATAACAAACAAGCTACTTGCCTAAATTCATTTGTCAGGCCACTACTTGCGCAAGCTCCCATCTACAAAAAAAATATGGATAAACTAGAAAAAACACCGAGGAAAGCAGTCAGGTTTACTTTTAATGAGTACCTCACATCCTACTCCCCCTCCCAATCAACGTAAAAATAAAAATCAAGAATATTGACGTCAACAGTGCTGGGAAGACTTTACAATGCCATTTCTCAGATTGCACATTTAAAACGCTGCTACATTGTGTTCTTTTTGGACAAACAAAAAGGCTTCTTTTGCGTGGGTCCAGCTCAGTAGAACATGGCTATAGGGTGCTTGGCTATAGACCCGAAGGTCGCGGGTTTGATCCTGGCGGTCGAATTTCGATGCAGGTGAAATTGGATGGAAGCCCGTATACTCTACGATCTCGATGCACATTAACGACCTTCAGATTGTCAAAATTTTCCGAGCCCTCTACTAGGGCGTCTTTCATAATGACAAAGTGGTTTTGGGACGTAAGATGCCACATATTACTATTATTATTGTTTACGTGCAACTTGTTTGTAACTATTTCAAATTGTTTACTGGAAATGCACACTCTTGTATATTTTTAGTTTATGCATGCTTTTCCTCATCACTGTTGGTAGTGTGCCTGAAATAAAAAAAATAAACAGAGGAATCTTTCGTGTCACCACATCTTGTTCCCTTTTAGGGTGAAAGTGTGCTGCCAGATTTCAGGGAACGTCAATCTGTAATCATTTATTTCGTCGTTTGCAAACGCAACTTCTAGACAAGGCTACCGCAGTATGCAGCGTCTTGCATTTTGCTATATTTAAAAACAAAAAACTGCGTTATTCCTCGTATCGTCAAATAATACTCATTTTCAAAGCTACAGCGAATGCACGAATGCTTGCATCTCATTTTATTGGATGTCCGTGTCACTACGATTTAATTGATTGATATGTGGGTTTTAACGTCCCAAAACCACCATATGGTTATTAGAGACGCCGTAGTGGAGGACTCCGGAAATTTCGACCACCTGGGGTTCTTTAACGCGCACTCAAATCTGAACACACGGGCTTACAACATTTACGCCTCAATGGAAAATGCAGCCGTCAAAGCCAGGAATCCACACCACGGCCTGTGGATCAGCAGCCAACTACCTTAGCCTCTAGACCACCATGGCCAGGCATCTGTGTCACTACGCTCATCTTGTAAGTTTAGCGCAGCGCTTGATAACTGACACTTCTTGCAGTTGTCCGTTGTTAAGGATTTTCTGTTTGTTGCGATGATAGCGGTAGCCGAGAGTAGTGAGCAGTCGAACGGAATTCATTGAAGCCTGCGCCCAGAGGCGAAATAGGGAGGTAATCGGTTATGAAACCCATTACCTCGGTAGGAAAGTTTATTATAGCAGGATATAGGTCATACAGAGCTGGCCAGCACGACAACATCAGCTGGGGCAAAATCCCCAAATATAGGGCCGGCACGGTTTAAATAACGTTTTTGGTCTCTTCTACGAGACCAGTTCCCGGTGCTTGGAGAAGGTGAAGCTTTCCCCGGAACGGCATGGTGGCTCGGCGGAGGAGGCGACGCTTTGCCCGGAACTGCACGGTGCCGCCTTCTGCGTGGAAGGTGGCGCTGGGAGGGGGGGGGGAGGAGAGAGTTCCCCTGAACTGCGCTCGTTGTCATGGAAAGAAGCGCTGTGGAACGAGGATCACGCCTGTGGCATAACACTGTCCAAAAAGTACCCAATTCCATTCCAACGGCATCTTCATTTCACAATGAAGAAAATAAATACGTCCACTGTTGTGTTTTTATTGATAAAATGAGTTTATAATCATTCTCTGCAAGCGAATAGCCTAAATTTTTTTTCTATCGTTCGAACAAAGAAAGTAAACCTTGGAAGTAACTGCTTGCTTTGTTTCGTGTATATTTATGCAATTTTTTATTCATTGAATTTCTCGGAATTCTTGTCTCGTTCTTTTACCTCACAAAATGAGAAAACCATAGTTACCGATGTTATTGGTGACACGCAATACTCAGCTTACTGATTGATCAAAAGAGTACAATAGATAAAACTGAACTGTATCTAATATGTACAAGCCAACAACTAGACGTTACTTGTTTGTGAGTGACCAAAACTTCATTAAACTGGTAGTTGCTCCAAACTCTGTACTGCCTTTTTTTGCTTCAGTGTAAGAAAAATGCTGGGAATTCCTTCTGTTTTTTTAAAGCTTTGGATAATATATTCTTTTTGTAATTTAAAAATTTCTTTGAAGGTTCCATTCTTACAGGTAAGACGCTGAAAGCTCTGAATTCGAGACATCATAAGAGCGTTGAAAAACTGCATTCTTAACTGCCTTAACCATCGATGTTTATGAGAGTATTGTGGACGTCCCTCGAAGTGCCATCACAAATGAAGGCTTCGCGTCTCTTTTATGATCTTAAGAGGTAGCTGTTGGGCCAGTTGGTGCTTCGGTAACTTCAAAGGTGGGGTAGCAGCGGATACACAGAAAGATTCACACAAGAAGACGGTAGACACAGACGAACGCTGGTTTTCAACTGGGCTTTATTTCTAATCCCGAAGCCACACAACAGTTCTCATACGTGCTGATTTCGTTACTTCCCACGACACGTGACACTTAAAACTTATTTTCCTGCTAGGTGACCACACTCGTTTGATCTCAGAGATAAGGGCGTATTGCTGACGCAGTTATTCTTAGGATTTTCGATGCTTCTAAAATTTTCCCTCATATCTGGTGTTTTCCTTAACTTAGATAGTCGTGCGATGGAGCATCGGCTTAGAAAAATCGCGTTTCATGGAACTGCGGCATTGAACAGCCAAATAGATTCTCACGTCCACACTCAAAGACGTATAGTATTTTTTTGACCGCTTGCAAAATACATCTATAAGATGGGATGTGGGGAGAAATGTCGCTGTTCATTGTCGAAGTTGCATAAATGCAAATCTTGTAAGACGACGATCAATCGAACGACTAAATTCAGTCATATGAAACATCAGACATGAGCGGGAGATCGCCCTGCCGCAGTCGTCTAGTCCTTATGGCGCTCGACTGGTCGCGGTGAAAATTCCCGCCTGCAAAGGCTGCACTTTTGACGGAGGTGAACGAAAATGCTGAAGTCCGTGGTTGTATACTCAGATTTAGGTGCTCGTCGAAGAACCCTAGGTCGCCGAAATTTCAAGAGCGCTCCACTATTATGTCTTTGATAATCATATGGTGGTTTTGGAACGTTAAACCAGAGATAATGTCAATGGGCTAAGTAGATGCCAATATATTCGCCAGTACGCATTTGCTCGCCAGTGTATCTTTATTCCCAGTAACAATATTATTGTCTTGATTCTCGAACTATATATTGGTTCCGAAACTTTCTGTCGGCAGTGCGCATGGGTCAGTATACCCACTCCTCTCCATCATCTCACGTTACTTCAAGAGTTCTTCAGGGCAGCGTCCTTTATTATTCCTCATCTACACTATTGACCTTGCATCTAATATCACATCAAACAGCCGACTGCATCACATACCACAAAATTGTAACTCCTGCAGATCACCTGGCAGTACTAGATCTCGACATTGTCACAGTTTGATACTCAAAGTGGCAGATGACGGTTAACAGAAAAAAAATGGGCAGGACCAAGGTACATTTGGAATAGACAATAAGTGAAGCACGAATATGTTAGGTTGTTATGTCACTTTAAAATCAGCAAAACATTACGAGGTGGAGGTAACTGATGCTGTACATGACTTCCGTGTCATGATTATCATGTTTGGATGTGTCGTTTATCTTCGTCATCTATTCACGTCACGTGATCCTAAGTTGAGTATACGTGAAGCGAACGAAATGACCATTAGCACGCTATGAGCATGGTATGTTCTCAAGTTTTTACTTGACACGCGTGTCAGGATTGTCATGTTTGACCAGTCATAGAATTTCCTCATCCATTGACGTCACGCAACACCAAGTTTGGTATATGAGGAGTCAGCATAATGGCCGTGAGCGCATCATGAATGGCCCAATCTTCTCCGATGAAGCGTTGACGTGCCCGCACGCTGAGCACAGTAGCGCTACGTTAGCAAAACGTGAGCACTCTATAGTCTGACGCCAGGCACGTCCGGCTCCTCCAGCGTCCGTGAATGCCGCCCGACGGCAACGAGTGCTAATTGCGACATGCTGCGTTCCGCACCGATGCATTACTCAGACAACACTGCGTCTTTCTCTTTTCGTGGCGGAGAGACACCGGACGCGCTGAAGCGCGCATGCTTCAAAGCAACGCAGCGCGCCGACGAGCATATTACAGGGCTGGTGCCTGGCTGGCAACGCTGGCGTGACCGGACGAAATGAACGCCGGTGAGCACGCGCGCCACGTCACGTCGAAATGTAATGGTGCCTTGGCTGTGCCATGTAATTATGTTCCCACATGACACATCTCGTAGTTATCATGTGTGCACCAGTCACATACCTTTGTCATCCATTGACGCCACGTAATACCAAATTTGGCATGTGTAAAGCCAGCGAAACGGCCGTGAGCGCATAATGAGTGTAGCATGTAGTCATGTTGTTACATGAAACGCATGTCATGATTTTAATGCTTCTATGTGTCATTTACCTAGTCGTCCGTTCTTGTCGCGTAATACCGAGTTTGGTACATGCGAAGCCATCGAAACGGCCGCGAGTGCAGCATGCGCGTAGCATGTCGTCATGGTGTGACATGACACGCATCGAATATTTCTCATGTTGGCACCAGTATAGTACCTTCGTC